CAGGTATACTACTTTATTTGTTCAGAGAATCAGCAAACATAAAGTGGGTGATCATGTGGATTTTAAAAAAGCAATTCTGAAATAAAGCAAAATTTTTAAATTCCTGATATTTGCAGGAATTTTTCGTATATCCATCATGTATGATTACTATAGTAATTTGCAGAAGTCCCCAAAAATTTAGGTAAGTTTGTTCAATGTAATTGATATTTCCCATTTTCCTCTACACTGAAATAATCTTGCATTCTTAATTTACTGTTTCCCGTGTGTCGTAGTGAAAAGTTTGTAGTGATGGAATTCAATGTTAATTTCTTTTCAAAGTGAAGACATCAAACATGGATGCATTTGGACAGAGCAATAATTTTATTTGTACTTAAAGAACATATGAATGTTTGCTAATCTATTCCAAAAATGTTGAAAACGTTCACTTGGGCTATGAATCCAATGTCCCAATTAAAGCTTTTTCTAGGCTCATCTTGACATCTTTTAAAAATTCCTTGGCTATACCTTTCAATTATAAAGAGGTTTTTTGAAATATTAATATCATTTTACCTCAACATCTGAAATGCTAAAAAAAAACCAACAATTCAGAAAACAGGTCAAATAAATAAAGATCAATAGAGTGTATATTTAAGGCACTTGTAAGAAATTAGGGGAACGCATGAATACATGCATATATGTATTTTGTTTCAAATTTGAAATGTTTTCCTGAGCCATGTTGTACTAATCTCAAATTCTAAAGCAAAACAGTATTATGATATTTGGCTTTATGAAACACTAGATACAGGACAGGTTTTTAGTGCTGCAAATATCTGGACAAAGGCTGAAAACTTTAAGCCTTTCCTGCTGATCTGCTGACCCTGCTAGGCTTTTGCAGCCAAATTTGGAAGTCTTCAACTGACAACAGTTATTTGCCATAGGGGTTTATCTATTCTGATAAAAAGTGAGGATGGGTCCACTTTTTTTAATCTTTCACATAACACTTAATAAGTGTTACATGTTTGAACAATAAGAATAAAAAATAATTCCAGTTAGCCCCTTAAAGACGTACTTTAAAAGTGTTTTAAAATAAATATTCTCTTGTAAATCTCTATCAGGTGTCTGAACGTAGGCTTTCAGGCAAACAAGAAATTGGACTGTGTCCTTTGGCTAATATTTAAAAAATTATTTTCAGATTTACCTTTTTCTCCTTGACTGACTGCCAAAAACAAAAAGTAGAATTGCAGTTTCCAGCTGCTGAAATGATCATTAATATCAAAGAGGGAACAAAGAATGAAGAAAATATGAACTTAAAGAAGGCACAAATAGGGAAACAAACAATTTTCCCTGTCTGACTGCCATCATCTATACCTTAAATGTAAATAATAGAGTATCAGTACTTGCTAGCAAGAGGAAACCAGTAATGAGTCATGCACATTCTACTGTTTAGCAAGACAGCATATTTGACATCTGAAATGCTTTAAAAAAACCAACAATTCAGAAAACAGGTCAAATAAATGAAGATCAGTGTAAAATCTTATAATGTAATAAGATAATCTTGGTTCTGCAGATATTTATTGGGGTGCTCTTTATTTTTCTGAGATATGTGTTGTAACCGCATTATTATGGACTGTGTTCCTAGATTTTTATGTGAGGTTTATTTTGTACAGATATGTTGATGATATTCAGTTCTTTGATAGGGTATGTGTTTTGGTTTTGTGTTACAGTTCTCCTGCATTTTGCATTTTATTTTAGTAGAAAAAGTTGAGGCAAGTGTAATAACAGTAAAATTATATTAAAAATAATTTTTAATTAGATGACATTTCAGAATAATATTTCTTTTACATCTGTTTATAGTTCATAAAAGAAGCTGATAATGAAGTCCGTATGAGACTGATGCAATTTGTCACTGGTACTTGCCGGTTACCACTGGGAGGATTTGCAGAGCTCATGGGTAACTAATCAGTGTAAATAATTCTTAACTGGTATCTTATAAAGCTACCCTTTCTGAAATATTAAAATGATATTAAGTTCTTCATGGCTGCTAAAAAAAGGGTTTGGGTTTTTTTTCTCCCAGGAAGTAATGGTCCTCAGAAATTCTGTGTTGAAAAGGTTGGGAAGGAAACCTGGTTACCAAGAAGTCACACATGGTGAGTTAAAACAGAAAAATGATGTGGAGGAAGACCTTAATGCAGACTTACCGTAGTTGTGTGCTGTGTAGATCCATTGAACTAAGTACATTTATAGGATTCATGGTCCATTATTTTAGAAGATAACAAGCAAGAAATCTATGATGTAGTTTTGCTACACTTTTAAGGTATCGCTGGCTGCAGATATTACACTAGCATATAGACTAGTGCGTGTTATATTTACTTAGCATACTAGTAAGATATGCTGAGGTGTACTGCAATTCAATTCTTACAGAGACAAATCCAAAGTTTATTTAGCAATAACATGGAAATAGTTTCCATTGCCAATTTTTTTAGTTTTTTTTTAGTAATTTACAGTCCTAGAATTTTTTTTAGCCCCCTTTCAACTACAACTTATCTTAGCTTTGGGGTGATTTCTAACGACATAATAACACATCTGCTTTTTTGCTGCAAGTATTGTATTCAGCTCTTTCAAGTGCCAGCCATTGTCCTATTAAGAGATATACATTAATTCACACCAAAGGTGTTCTTTAATGCAGGTATTGAAAGATTTAAAACAATTCTTTTCTGTAGCAGAGGTGGGTTTTTAAGGGCAACCAGACAAAATATTTCTCAATGCATGCTAAGTGAAAAATACAAGAACAAATAAGTGGAGGAGGATCTGTCAATATCACTGTGCTTGTCTGGCAAAGAAATGTAAACATCTGAGCTATAACTGTGGAAATTGCTAATCTGTAATGCATATTTCAGAATTTTCTTGAATGTTTGGATCAGTGGAAAGAAATGTTAAAATGTGAGATTTGAAAGTACTTAAGATATAAAATGATAAGTTATTGCATCATTAAACTAATGGCGAGATCTTATCAGAAAGAATAATATAGGAAATAAATGTTTTTTTTTCTCTCTGCAGTTTTAATCGTTTAGATTTACCGCCTTATAAAAGCTATGAACAGCTGAAAGAAAAGTTGCTTTTTGCAATTGAAGAAACAGAAGGATTTGGACAAGAGTAAGATTCATCAAAGTGAAGCTTTCACCTCCCCCGATAGGCTGGAGCAACTAAATTGCACAGTTAGTTGTACATAAGCTGTCTCTCTGTATAGCAGTTTTTCTGGAAATCTTTTTAAAAAGCAGTTCTGTTCTTCCACAAAGATATGCAAAAACTTTTACTTTCTCTACTTATTTATTTTGTCCTCAGAGATCGGCCAGAATGAAATTGAAGCAGAAAGAGGCTTTATTTTAAAATGTGTGTGTGTATGTGTATTTATGTGTGTGTATATATACACATACACATATATATACACATATAAACAAGTGAGCTCTAGTTTTATAGAGCTTTAAACTTAAAAAATATCACAGCCATTCAGAGGATCAGGAGTTTCTTCCTGACTTCAGAAATGTACAGACTGCTCTGTAATCTTCTAATTTATGCAACATCTCTAAGGTTCTTTCTATTGCATGGCTGTTATAAAAGATGTTAAAAGGCTTCTGCCAAGTACATCTCATTATATAGAAAAATGCTGCTGGCTCTTTTAAATGATAGAATATAATTCTATCAGCTTAATTTCTTTAAAAAGTAATAACTGTTAACCCTCTTTGCTACGTCTATGTAGCTGTGGTCATAGGTAAAGCCTTTATTACTTGCACAAGAGTAATGTACAGTAAAATGAATGTGATTAAGATATTGGTGCCACTGTTCTGACTCACAAACAGAAGCTGAACAGACTATTTTAACTCACTGATCAGCATTAAAAATTGTTTACATATTATCTTGGGTTATTTCCAAGAGAACAGTAGGTAATCTTAAAGAAAAAACAAAATTTGCTTTCATATTCTGCCCTACTCTGGTATTTTACCGGCTTTTCCACAATATTGGTTATATGCCTCAATTTCATAAGATAAACTAATTTGAAATTTAGTAGAATATGAAAAGTAATGTGAATTCTTCTGCTCATGGATTTTTATTTTTTTTGCTATGGATTTAGAGACCCCTATTGAAACTAGTCACAAAAGCTTGCACAATTGAATTGATTTTAATAGTGTTCAGTATTCTCATCCATTTTTAACTTCAATAAATCCAGATGTTGCTAAACATCTTTAAATTTTGTTTTTATAAAGGCTGTCTTATTTGTCACTAAGTGTACAATATTATATATATATATATATAAAACATTAAATTATTTTAGCAGTATTGAGGGCATTTGCTATTTGCAAATCTATGATAAATTCTACAACATTGATGTGAATTATATCAAATGCTACTTTTAGCAAACTGTGCTTCCTTACTAGAGTAACATTTTAAATTACCATTGTATCATGCATTCATTATTCATTGTAAATTCCATTAAACCTACAGTTTTGTACACACACAAAATAAATTTCCTAGAATTAACATTTCTGTAACATATCAAACTGCAAAAAAATCTGTAAATGCAGTATGAATCTGCTATTATTCATTTTCTCAATATAGCAGTTGAATTCTACCAAAACCTTATTTTTCTACATATTGTTACACTTTATTATTCATGGATATTAACCTGAGAATGCTTTGATAAAAGCACTGAATTAACGGGCCTTCAGTCTATCTTTTTAGATAACTTCCCCCTATCAATATGTTTTTAATGTCATAATGCCCTCCCACAATATACATAGGCGCCTTAAAATACCCTGAAGATTTGGGAAAAAAATGTGTCTGGAGTCATCTGAATTATGCTAGTTTATAAAGAAAAAAACTTCAAAAAATATCCAAAGAAATGGTTTACCTAAATTCTACATTCAGAACAATAGAAACACTATTATTTGCACTATTGAATGACTGAAACATTGCAAAGGTAATCTTGTAAATCAGTAATTAACAATAAAGAATACAGTGCATCACAAAGTATGCTTATTTTTATTTGGTCTGTTATTCAGAGGACAATTTGCAAAGAGAAAACATACAAATGAAATGCTTGTATAAGTTTATTTGGGAAAAGGGGCAAAGAGGAAAATAAAACTCAAGGCCAGTTTTATTGGAAGTTAGAAGAGCTAAACAAGGGCAGCCCTAGGTAAGTAAAGGTAAATGTAGTTTTTCTTCCATTTTATATTTTTCCATGTTTTACTGGTAAATTAGAGATGTTCGGCTTGGCTCAGTTCATTTTTTTAAATTATGTATCTTTTAGCTAATTGCTGCTAATAGCAGTGATATTTTCTGTGTCAGAAGCACCATAGGTTTGCCGATGACATCACCGTTGCCTAGGGACATCCAGTTGTGGGCTCCTTTTCTGTCCCCATGAAGTTATCCACTGAGGTGGTACCCATAAATCTATTCATTGTCACCCTCTTTTGAACTGCTGGTTCAGGAGCTGAAGCATGTGAGAGGAGCTTACCCCACCTCATAGCAGCAACAGGTCTCAAACACAAGCACTGCTGACTGCCCAGTGTTCTAACTTTGTGAGAACTGTGCTCCTCATATGTGCAGTCATGAATGGAATACTTAAATCCAATTCCAACCATGGGAAGGGAAACTACTGAAGTTAAGAATTACAGCATGAGATATTAAAATATTTAGGTTCATAAACATTGATTAATGGACTATGAAGAGAAAAGCAATAAGGTATTTAGCAATACCTTTCTATGTCTGGAAGATTGGAGGAAATGAGCAACTTTTCAAAAATTCCTTCTCTCTCCCCCCCCCCCCCAAAAAAAAAAAAAGTTTATGTCAAAGAGTTGAACAAATGTGCTATGGCAATTTTCCCATGCTGGGAAGACTAGGCAATGTGCATGTATTCTAAGTTTATCAATGAGCGATTTTCATGAACAGTAACCCCAGTTGGAGTTTAGGTTTCAATGACTGCAATGAAATTTACTTAAGTGCAAGTCATGAGTGCAGGGTATTTTTTTTTTTTAACAGAATATCTTATTTACTTTGCCAATTTTTGCACAATTTGGCAGACCTTGATTCACTGGCTGTTAAAGATATCACACTATGATTTCTTATATGATTTCCCAATAGCAAAGAAACAGTATTTTTGTCTGCCAAGGAAGATAGACAGATTGCATTGTGCAATGTTTCATCACAATTAGCTATTAAAACCGTTCAAGTTCAATTAGGAAATCCAAGTATCAATATTCAATAGCTTACAGAAGCAATCTTCTCAAAAATATCTCTTCCAGCTCCACGAGATTGGCTACTTTGTATATATTTTTGTAAAACAAGGATATACTTAAAAGATTTCGGTATTTAAGAAAGGAGATATAAATGCTCTCTTTCGAAAATCAATAGTGCTCATTATAATTTATGTGGAAAATTTAGAATGGATCCAGATTCCCATGTATTGGATCTGTATGTTTTTGTGCAACTCTCAATTTCTATCTCCATCTCTCTAATACAAAGGCTCAAAAAGATGCCTTGGCTTCCCCAAGCAGTTTTATAAGAGAGAGAAAAAGTAACTGATGCCTGAGATAACCAAAGTGCACCTTGCTGGTTTTAATGAGCAAATGTTTCAATGGTTTGGCTTCTGTATTGCATTCATGAAACCCTTTGCAATATTCTAAAAAATAAGGCTTTATATGAATAACAATGTACCAATATCTTCCAAATAAGCGTTGGAACTCTGAAACTTGACTAAAAATGTGATTTTTTTTTTAATAAAAACAACTATATGGTTGTCCACTTATTCTCAATGACTCTCAGCAGCTTACAAAAATAAAAAACCAATATACAAATACTCTCCCCCCAAAAAACAACCCATAGCATTTCAAAAGGTTCACATAATTTTCTGACCCTTCATTCTCTAGGTGGTAAAGCATTCATTCCTTCAGTAACTGCACGCATTTCTCTGGCAGGAGAGAGATAGCCAAGAACCTGTGTGCTAAAATGGGGAGGGGAAGATGAAACAAATCAGATGCTCCTCCAAGCTTAAATTTAGAATTTGCAGGAAGGATTTCTCAGCTAATAAATAGCATACAAGTAAAACTGTACCGAAGTATTTTCTAGAATAGAGAAAAGTTAATTGGTGTTAAATGCAATTTCTTTTACTTGTGATAAAAAATTTCTTCTAATAAGAACTGCTGAGCCTTTTTTGTATATATTTTTCTACTGGTATGTCTTCTAAGATGCTGTTAGTGATTTGAAGAGTTCTATATTTTTATTTCTTTAGCAGAGTTTACAACTAGGTGCTTAAAAGTAAAAAGCATTTTTCCAATTCTTTCAACCAAGCCAATTTCTATATAAGTTATGTCACTGATTTGCCTTAGCTGATTTACATTCCCACAAAGAGATAGAGGCTATTTTTCTAATCACTATATGGTCATGCTGTCCTCATTTTTTTTCCTTATAATTTTTTCTTATAATGTAACTATCAAACCTCAATATAAAAAAACATAGCTATGTATAGGCACAGAGGCTTTGAGGATAGGAGCGTGAAACCTTCAGCTTTTTAATATATAGGGTTAGCTCTTCTGCTATAAAAATATATATTCATTTTTTAAGAAAAACTTCACTATTTGATGCAGATACATTAACAGCACCCAAAATTTTTGACTTATTCTCAGGACTAGGGTTTTTCATTAAAAAAATTAAAGATAACTATTTAGGTAGATATTAGTTATTTGCATGATTTAGAAGTCTTCATATTGAAGTAAAGCATGAACTTATTTTTATAATAAAAGGATATGTCATCCTAGTTTTAAATCCTTGAGCTCATTTGCTCTCTGCTTATGACTTTACCTAATCGAAAGAAATACCTATCTGTATAGTTTAATATTGTGTTTCAAGACTATTAGTCAAAAGCTATATTGTTTTTGAATTTTTCTTTCTCATATTTATATTTGTTCATGGGTTTTTTGGTGTCTTTTTTATTTTAAAAGAACATTATTGCAAATGAACGGTATTGTTTAAAATCAGAAAACAGATTATACCTCTAAGGAACTATGATTGAGATGTGAAAGGCAATAAATCTTGCCAGAAACCAAAAAGCTCAATTATTCATATATTGGCTGCAAGTCAAAATGTAAAATAAGCACTTACAGTGCTTAAAAATATCTTTACATATTAAGGTAAACAATAGCATTAGCAACAGCATTCATACTTATATGCACTTCATAGTGCTTTACAGCCCTTTCTAGATGGTTTAAAGAGTCAGCATGTTGGCCCAATCTGGGTCCTTATTTTACCAACCTTGAAAGGATGGAAGGCTGAGTCAACCTTGAGCCTATCAGGATTGAACTCCCGGCTCCATACATTGTGCCACCACACTCTTATAACAATATCTTAACAAATTATCCTTTGACATATAAAAGCAAGCATATTCTATCCTACTAAATTCTCCAAAACAAAAACAGTATAGTTATCCAAATGAACTACCTAAAACCATGCCAGAAAATGACTTAAAATAACAGTTTAAACAAGAAAAGTAGAGATTAAAATTAAAAGCTATTATTTCTGAATATTTGTAAATTTCATAACTGTTTCCTGATTTTTCTCTCTCCATTCTGGACAAAAAATGTATACAGATGGATTAATAGATGTAGATGGAAATGTCAATAAAATCTGGAATTTATTCTTCTCTAAAAATTCTTTTCTTCATATACCAATTTGAACCACAATATAACTGTTTAGCTTTCTCTTTAGTTTCTTAGTTCATTAGTTCAGATATTTTGAGAAATCATGTCATATAGAATTTAATATTTCCAATGCTTCTTTTTGTACCTGGAACAATAGAAGTGAAAAAAATATTGTTTGACACAGCATGCAAATCATGGAGAAATAGTTGTGTAATGCACTCATCTGCTAATTTGCCTTTGATTATTTTTTAAGAAAATAGAAAATCTACACAGACATTGATTTCCAAGATTAGATCAGATAGAAACTGGTGCCGTGTGGCCTCCCCCTAGAAATCAGAAATCTTTCTGTATTGCTTTTGCATCTGATCTTAAAAGCCAGGCTTTTTTGCTGAGCCCTCCCCATTTTGATTTAATAGTACCATCTTTAAAAAAAACCTTGTATTTATTTTGTATGGGGTTTTGGGCTGCATTTCTTTTTAATGTGAACAGCAAAGAGGTTTTCTTTATTGCATTGGTATACAAAGATATTAAACAAACAAACAATATTGGGCTCTGAACTTCCACTGAGAGAGTTGGCTTCAAGTTTCTGCTTAGTTACAAATCTGAGTCAATAATCATCGCTTAAACCAATTTACCTCAGGGCAGCTATAAATTAAAACTGATAAGCCAAGCTCCAGATAAAATTCTCACAAGTAGTTCAGTGGAACCCAACCAGAGTACCGTTATCAAAATTTATAAAATCATTTACAACCCATTCAAAGCCTGAAAAAGGGACAGAAAGAAATCTACAGGAAATTCCTCTATTCCAGTAATGGCGAACCTTTTTGGCACCAAATGCCCAAACGAATGCGCACACGCCAGACTGCTGGAAACCCAAAGACCAGCATGCACACCAGTCAGCTTGTCTTCGGGTTTCCGGCGCTCACAAATACCAGCTGGCTGGCACATGCACATGCCAGAAACCAGAAGAGCAGCTAGTGACAGCACGCATGCCCACAGATTCACCACCACGGCGTATTCCAAACGTCCATTTTTAAATTTAGTTTCAATGAAAAACATTGACAATGCTTAATAACAATATTCATATTATGCCAGATCTAACATTTCTATAATAATTTGATAGTATGTCAGCATCTAACATTTCATAACAAAATTATGAATTATTTCAATATACATTTTCAAGATTTGTTTCTTTAGATTAATAATTTATTAAATTTAGATGCTGTCCATGTCCAATTCACAATGACTCAGATGATTACTCTCAACAAAGACCATGTTGGCTGGTTAGATCTGAAAGTGGAACAATTTATTACCAAGATTGGGGAACACGGCTTTAGGCTAAAACATGAGGCTAATGACAGCATTGATATGCGTTCAGTATGTGTTCTAGCACAGGAATATTTGAAAATGTATTTTTTATATCCATATACATATCTGGCTGTGAAAGTAACTTACCTGCTTATCTTCCTCTGTATGTGGTAGCCGATCTCTAGCTTTTGTTAGCCAGAGAAGGGCCATCTTTTTATTATTTAATTTCATGTAAGTCTTTCCCAAGAACAGCAAGTTTTTACTATAGAAATTGGGTTCAACTACACAGAAATGAAAACAAACAAAAAACTTCTGGTTTTTCATTTATAATGTACAGCTTATTTATTTCTAATATTTTAAAAAGTTAAGCATAATCTCAGTACATATATAGAAAAAAGATAATGTACATTTTGCTTAGTGGTGAAGGATATTTGGTTCTATCTTCACTGTAATGTTTTTATTTCAAATCGACATCTGTGTGTATCAGCATTTGTGCTGATAAATAAATTTATGTTGATAAAAATAAATTTATCAGCACAAATGTAACAAAGTAAATGTAAAAAAATGGCTTTCTGCCTGGATGGTTCTTAGGGTGAGCCGAAAGACAGAAAAGGGAAGCAGTATGCTTCCTCCCATATTTGGGCATACCAGGGGTTGTGACAGTACATACATACATACATGGAGAGGGAGAGGAAGGGAGAGAGCGAGAGCGAGAATAGATCTATTGCAAGCTATTTAGTTCTCATCAGCTAGCCACTAAGCCACAGGCCCTCTTCCTTTCTCAGCCCAGGTTCAATTCTCAGTAAGGGTATGGCTAGCTGATGAGAGCTAAATAGCTTGAAATACATCTATACTAGTCTCCCTTTATTTATTTATCAGCACAAATGCAACACATAGATATGTTGCATATATATGCAACATATATTTATATTAAATTTAAGAAGAAAATTACTTTGTTTCTGTTCCTCAATATGAAAATCACTTCAATATACATCTTTATAATACAAATTCTGATGCAAGTTCATTTATGACTAAAATATTTCACATTCCTCTTCTGAGAAACACAATGTATAAACAAGTGGTGTTAATTTTAATCTTATCATAATCAATAGAAACATTTTAATAAATATGTTTGTTCTATGCTCTCAAGATAGTTTTAACATACAATTCCTTTAGCATCCCTATTGAAAGAATATTAAATAGTGTATTGAATAGTGTAATTAAAAAGTTGCATATTCAATACTCAAGTTTCACTACCGAAACATTATGGATTTTCCAATTTATAATTTGGGTATCTCTCGAATGACTAGAGATTCTAATTTTTTCATTCTACATTGATACCTCAGTAGATATATTAGATAGAGATGAAGGGAATTTGAAGAACTTTCATGTACCTATATCCTTGTTTCAAGTAATACTATAAATCAGGGGTCCCCAACTTGTGGCCCATGGCCCATTAGTGGGCTGTGTTTGCAACTGGGGCATGGAAAATGCTAGTGAGGGCACCCACACCATCGTCATGTGAGCGTGCTCCATTTGTGTGAGCATAAGGTGTACATGCATGCTGCTTGTGGAAATGGAGTTGTGTTCACACATGCTTGCCAACCACTTCAGCAAATCATCCCCCTCCCCCCGCAAAGCCGGAAACGCTGGGGGACTCTGCTATAAATAATTACACTTTCATATAGTATCTAACACATTTTAATTTTGATTTCAATTAAATTGTCATGCAATGTGCTTTCTTAACATAACTTACCATTTTCAGCCTTTTCAAAGTACTGTAATGCCTAGAAGACATTAGCATTAAAATTAGAGGAATACTATTAAAGTAATTTAAATCTTTTAAATTAAAATACTTCAATAACTGCAATGTAATGTGTTTTCTAAGGGAAAACACAAAAGGGAATGTTATATGCTGTATAGTTTATATTCAAGGATATATTTATTTACAAATGTAATCAATCTTATGTATTTTATGAAATAGCTGGTATATTATTGATTATATCAATAAGTATTCATTTAGTAGATGGTATATTTATTTTTCAGAATATCAAGTTTTATCCAAAAATCTATTGCCTGGCAGTATAGCCTCATAGCTTATAAAGACTGACCTTTCAATCTCTTTTTTCCCAATGTTTTAAAGGATAATACACCAAAAAAGTTATAGAAAATACTAATGGGACACATACTTCTTCATAGGTAGAGCTGGGTGGTGTTGAGAATAAAATAGCAGCTATGTTCCTCTGATACCATGGCATATCAGCAAATGTGTAACACCTGTAACATATGAAAAATGTATTTATTAAATATGTCTCCTAAGATATTTAAAATCACATAACTAGAGGAGGCCAGTGAATTCTAACTAACCCAACTCTAGAATGATGTTTGCTTAACTGAATATTACACTTCCAAATCACTGCCAAAAAAACAACTAGAGAAAGCTGTAAGTTAAATGCCACTTAAGTGTAGAAAGGCCTCACTGACTAGTTTTTTTTCTGTATGAACACTAGTTTTTGATTCACAAAGATATTATGACTTGGCTAGTCAGATAAGTATATAAATATTTACTCTGAAATGATTTTGAGAGTAGGGAGAGTAAGCCAAACACATTTTCTTCTGGGTCTATGCTATGCTCGGTTGGTAAATTATAAGAATATAACTTCAGTTTCTCAGTGGAGAAGGAAGCGCAGCTTCAAAGGTGGCATAGAGTGTTAGAAACCTCCATGGACAACATGTCAAAATTAGAAGAAACTGATCAATGAAAGATCAGGCTGACAGTTAACATACAACAGTGGCTAAAACAAACTAGCCATCTGAATAATTGTTGAAGACAGAATCATTATTCTGTCCAGATTAAAAGTGGCTGGTAGATGGATTGAACAGTTAATTAAGATTTATGGGATATTGGCTGACATTAGGATAAGACTCACCGAAGCATTCAAGAATTGCTGAAGAAAAGTGCCAAAGAGGAACAAATTTGTAACTAATTTTGTTTTAATGGTTTTAATTATTGTGATATAATTTGCCTCCAGGGGTCAACTGAATTGAGATGGGCAGCTATAGAAATTGAATAAATAAATAAAGATGTGCTCACTTAAGAATGCTTTAAGAACAAATGCAAGTCTAGGGAAAAATACCTGAAGTGCGCAGGACTATGCTTAGAGAAGCTGAGGAAGATTCATTCATGAAAGAATGTTAAAGCTGAAATGTAAAAGTCTTAATTTACTCAGATAAGGCTTGGCCAATACTCAATCTGCTAATAATATGACTAACATGTCAAAGCCTGTATCACTTTCATTGTATGCTATTTGGCCCTGTTTAAGACAAGAATATTCATCACTGTTTTTGCAGATCTTTTAAGATGATGTATTACCTAGTTTGGAGCTTCTCAACATTAGGGAAGAAGACTTTTTTTTAATTAAAAAAGGTTTGGGGAAAATGTTGCCACCTAGGATATAAATCAGTCAATAACTTATCACAAGAGACAAGACATGATAAAGTAAATATTAATGAATAATAAATGCAATCTCTACACCATTAGGTAAAAACTGGAATGGGAAAATATATGATCCTCCAAATACTATCATATACAAGTCTCGATCTCTTGTTATTGTCATGTATGTTAGTGCTAACAAAAGTTGAAATTGTCAAAAGGCATTTTGGATAAAAATATGGTGGATTATACAACATATTCTTAAAAAAAGGATAAAATTTACTCCTCAGCTATTCTTGTTAGGTATAATTACTGACTGTACAGTGGTAGAGATTAACCTGATTTTGCATTTAATAACGGCAGCAAGACTGTTGGTGGCACAATACTGGAAGAAGGAAGATTTGCCTACAATTCAAGAATGGACACTGAAAGTCACAAATTTAGCAGAGATGGCTAAAATATCTGCATATCTTAAAGACCATTCAAATGAGAGATATAAACGAGAC